GTGTGTGTGTGTGTGTACTTAATTTGCTAGTAAGTTTGTTCCTGTTGGAGTGGGTGAAGTCCAGAGGTTGACATCAGGATGTCTTCCTGAATCTAATCTCCCATCTTCTTATTTCTTTGTTTCTTTTTTGAGATACAGTCTTTCATTTAACTTGGAGCTCATTGTTTAGGATAGACTAATTAAGAAGTGAGCCCCAATGATACATAATCTTCAGCTCCCCTATGCTGGGATTGCAGAGATAAATCACTGTATTCAGCTTTTACAGAGGGGATAGGAATCTGAGCTCAGGCCAGGACTCAGCTCAGGCTGTTTATGAAGCACTTTACCCATTGAGATATCTCTCATGCTTCCTGAAGAAGTTTTAATAATTTTAAACAATTTTCCAACATGTACCTATATGGTCACCATTTTTGGTGATCTTCTTTTTTTATATGAATATATATTTTTACTCATAGACATTATTCTCCTTAAAGGATTTAATGATTTTTGTTTCCATGATTTTTATTCTGCAGGTAGGTTGGTGAAGAAGTCTTTAAGGTTCCTCTGCCTATAAATGTATTTAGTCACCTTCCTTTTGAAAAGACAATCACTTAGAAAAACTCATGAATGTTTGTTTTGTTTCTGTTTGGCTTTGTATTATTCTAATGCAATGAAGATAATGCTATAAACCATCCTAAGCCATGTAAGAAGGCTATCCCCCACCACTTTTTCCCCAATTTACCTCTCTCCTCTCTCTCTCTCTCTCTCTTTTTTGCTTGCTATCTTGCTCATGCCTATGTGCAAAGGTACACACACACACACACACACACACACACACAAACACACACTCAGACACAAAGGTTGTGTTTTAGATTGTTATTTTTCCAGAGTGCTTCTTTTCCCTTTCTCTGGTTGTTATCAGAACTTTTTTACTAAAGTTTTTATAATATTTAACTTATAATGAAATAGTTCCTCTTTTCCTTCATTTAAAAAAATTTCAGACTGAATTTTAGCAACTTTTATAGTTTCAAGGTAATGATTTATGGTTTAGTGAGGAAACAATCAATGTTTGGCTTATTTAAAACATTTTGGGGGTGGAGAAAAAGCAGGACCCTGCCCATTGCCATTATGACTGAGTGGGAGGTGATGCACATCCCCGCCTGGGTTGCCTACCCTAGAGGCAAGAAGGAAACATAGGCCTGACCCATTTTGGTGCCTGACAGTTAGGCACTATTATGGTGAGTAAATACGTGTTAATATATGGTGTGATATGAGAGAGACAGAGACAGTGAGACAGAGAGAGACAGGGTGGCTCATGTCCTCAGGAAAGAGAAGATCTGAAGAGGTGAAGTCAATAAAGAGTGGGCTGAGGTGGGTGGCCTGCCTGCCCCTGGCCCATGGACCTGCAGCACCTGAGGTCTGTATTGATGTCCTTGGCTCCTGATACCAACTAAGGCTAAGAGGATAAGGCTGCACAGATTTGGTCTAGCCCCTCAATGGTTGTAATACCAGGAAGAACTGGGCTTGCCTGACCCTGTAAGTGGGTGTTGTTCTTTTGTTTAAGCTGCAGCTGCTAATAAGGAAAGGAACAACGAATAAGCAACCCACGTGGAGTTTATTTATCAG